ATACTACCCCGAGTTTATAAAATTCCACTATTTGAATCGGCACCAGTCAGCTCAGATTACTCCTAAAAGCGTCAATGAAAATTGGCTTTGAGCAAGACAATATACATCATAGCAAGGTATTCTGTTCAGTAAGGACAGCTAAAAGTGACAGTTCTTGTTCTAGCAGGAATAATCTTTTAATTCAACCTTTATGTAAAAAACAAAGTAGTCGCCAAATAACATCTCCTATCCTGCTCCTATGGCAGAGCAGCCAGTGTTTTCAAAACAAGTGAAACTGTGAATTTTAACGTGAAACTTTTATTTTGTTCAGTTTTCAGGCATAAATACAGCTTTTCCATAAAACAGAGTTAAGTGTTAGCTAGTATCACCTGCATGTATCACAAGTTTAAGAAGTCACTGCTTTCTCTAAATTCATGTACCTCTACCACCTTACAGTTTAGAAGCAAAAGTATGCCCAAGTATCTCAAAGTATTGCACAGAGTCATTCATACAGATTTATTTTGGTTAAGTAATCCAAGACTAAAACCAAGGTATTTAGGAGTAACAGGGAAGTTATCAATGAGAGAGACAAAACCATCATAGCTCAGTGGAGAGAGCTCAAAAGCTTCCACAAGGGAGGTAAGTTCACAAAAGAGTCCATCAACATTACGTCTTCCCATGAAATGATGAGTACTTCAATCCTGCCCTCCTCTCCAACAAACAACACTGTGCAGGAATGGAGGGTATGACACTCCCACTGTGTTATATGTGTTATCTCTCCAATCAGGCATTTCATCGTTGCTGTTATTTTTAATGCAAAATAACAAATCTATGCACAATGTTAGATATTACAATAACTTTGAAACCAAGATTTCTCAACATGTACATACTGCCAACAATAGCAGAAACACTACTTGAAGATTCCCGAGCACCTGAATTACTGCACTTCTATCCACACATGCAACTATTCAGAAAAAAAAAAAATATCTGAATTATGTTAGTTTATTCCATTTTTGAGCAGCAGAAAGAACAGCATAAACTGACTGAAACCATCAGTATTTGGTAGCATGTGATGAAGAGTGTATTACTTACTAGCTTGCTCTGTAACTCTCCTTTTACTGTGCTGTACAACAAAATGCTGCCAACTGCTGTACCAATAGCCAGAATATCTAACTGCTTGTCCACATCTGCAACTTCTGACTTCCGTTTTTTCCTCTGGGGCCCATCCTGCAAAATCCAAAAAGATAAAACATGAAACAGATTAGTCTGACCAGCTAATTTCAGTGTTAAAGCAGAGGGAAAAAAAACTTTGGTAAGTTTGAGACCCAGTCAGCCAGCACAAACTCTGCCAAGACACAAAATGAAGACACTGAAGTGCACAGCAACCTACAGACTCATCTTGTACCTCCATGTACAAGGTAAGAGTGCTGCTATGAGTCAGGTGGAAACATCTGGTGGAGGCCCCTTCCCAATCCTAGCAACCACATGCATGAAGGAAAAATACACATTCAAGTTTTTCACAGAGTTCATGTCCCAGAGGCAGAGGTAAAGACTAACACAATCAGAATACTTCACCCGCAAAATGGCAACGCTTGATAAAGAACAATCAGTTTACTTTTTCTCAAAAGCTATTCAGAAGAACCGTACAAATATTAAGTATTCATAACACCTCTTAAAACGAAAGTCCTACTCCACTCTGCAGAGAGAAGCAATGAGGACTAAGCTAAGTGCTGTGCCCAAGTCCTGTCATCAGTACCAGAGGTCCTCCTCTGAAAAGGCAATTCTTATATCTTTACTCTCTCACTCTACAAGTGCTATCAGCCACTTCAGGTAGAGATTTCACTTCACCTCTCAAAGAAAAACAGGTGAATGCAGCCCATCACTGGGAAGGGGAGAGGGAATAAAACTGGTTCCTGGGCATGTGTAACTAAAATGGAGGGCAGAAGCAGCCACTTAATTTATTCTCACTAGGATAATCTCATATAACTAATCACACACACAGAAAGGAAAAACCGTTCAAGGACTTCTGAAGAAAAAAATCATCCCTAATGCTACCGATTATTTTTTAATTGCAGTTTGGTACATCTCCTTCAATTTGTTTCAGCAAAATATTCTCTCAACTTTAAAAAAAAATAATTATACACAAGCTTCCTCTACAGAACAGATATATTTGCACCGATGAGCAGCCAGAAGAAGCCAAAGGAGACTGATAAAATAACTTGAGCAACCAGGTCTGTGCAAGCTCCATGTGGTGTAGCTAATCTGTCATACAACAGACATCGCACAGCAAGCATAAATAATTTTTACTCAGGTCCAGAGATATAATGACAAACCAGATTTGGGAGTTTTTACCACAACTATGATTTAAAAGTATAACAGCACAAGGTAAGTACTTTCATTCTTTGAAGCAGGACTTACTTTTCCTCTGTACTGAACACAGACACCTTCTGCAAGGAAAAGTGTTTAGGTTTAGGCCAATAAATACCAAAATGCTATATAGACACTTTTACATCAAACGCAGGCTCTTGAGGAAAGAGATTACATTGGGTTTTTTGCAAGCATTTGTTTAGGCTTAATCTTCCCTGGAAAAGCGTTCATAAAATATTATGAAAACACAGGTGCTGTGAAACCATCAGTCTCAAAGCACAACCTAGTAAATCAACCAGGTTTTAAGACAATATGTGAGAAAAGACTCAACTAGTTAAATTTTTGCAAGTAATGCTGACTAAGACATCTTGTCAGATGCTGTCTGACATGCATCTCCAATGGCTATGTGGCCCTTGACTTTGCAAGTACAATTTATGTGTTTTCTGGTACTTTTCAATCTCTTTATGTAGCTCTACTGTTTAGCTCACACACCCCCACTGCAAAGCAAGATCACATTTAAGAACAATTTTATTCTTGTCCCTTGCATAAAACTTTTAACTAAAATTTGTTCACCCTTCATTTCAGTCTGCTATGGCCAATCTCCCTTGGAATAACCCAAAGATACAGCAAAATTCCCACTAAAGTCCACAGTTATTTTCAGTGTGAAGAAAGCTAGAGGCAGTGAAGGTTTTTTCCAATCATTTTTTCACATATATTTCTTTACTGACCATCCCTTTATCAGCATTATCAGTGGGGAATTTTGTCAGTAATTTTTGCATGAAAGAAATGCCAGTGGAAAATTCAGACACATACTAATGTCAGAGGTGATTTGAAATCACACTTCAAGAACTAAAAATAAAGTTAAAAAATAATCCAACATCTCTACCCTGCATTAGATTAGTACACAGACTGCCAACTGCAGTAGAAATCCATGTGGGATTCACTTGCGAGTCAGGGTCTTAAGCATAAGAGCACCCTGTTTTCACTGATAGGATAGAGAGCTGAACTATACCAAGTATCAGTTTCCTTTTGGTTTTTTTCAGATTTATGGAAACTCAAAGTTTATTTAGAAATCCATCAACTTTGCCTGAAAAAGTACAGTGTTTTAATTAGTAGAGGTAGTTAAAATAAGTTATTTGAAAAAGTACTGTGCACATACTTTTCCATAATGCTCTTACTTGAACAGGTCAGCCACTCAGACTTTTTTTAACAAAAATCTCTGCTGCTCAAGCATGAAGTAAAGCACTTAAAACACTGATGGGGGGAAGCCTAAACAGCCTTAAGAGTTGAAGATGACAGAGTAGTTGCAGCTTACTAGGAAGAAAGTGGAAGAAGGTATTTTGAAAGTTGGTGGTCCACATACTCTTGCACAAGGCATCACTTCATGAAGCAGGAGATGGTGAACACCGCAAGCAGGAAACACTGACGCTATGAAAGCACGTGTGCAGGGAACATCCCAATAAGCCACCACTGCATCAGCAATTCCAGGGCCTGCAGTTCAAAACTTTATTTCTAATACTCCCCTGTAACACATGGCCTTCATTAACAGGGCAGCAGTTCAAAACATACTTAGTTTACACGTAACTTGGCCAAACACCATTTACAGATATCTACTGGCACAGTTTTACTCCTGAACACCAGATACTAGTACTACCTAGACAGATGTCAACTCTCCAGGAATATAAAAAAGACTAAACAATGTCAGAAAAAACACATTCAATAAAATATATTTGACAGAACCATCACAGCTTTAGTTCTTCAGTCTAAGGACAAACAAATGAATTGTAAAAGTTTATGACATAATTATTCCAAGAAACGGTGTGCTTTCCAGCTCTACTTGAAAAAGTACCAACTTTCAAGCAGTGGACAGCATCCAAACTACTGGAATAATTAGAAAGCACTGAGAAATATCCAAATGCTGTCTGATTAAATCTATATTTCATACAACCCTAAACCAGGTTGAACTGGAGCATTTGTGGGTTTTCGGGGTGGGTCTCTAGAAAAGGCTTAGTTTTTAAAAGCCACTCAGAAACCTCCTGTGCTTGACTTGCTGCACCACAGCAGTATACTATGTTAGCTTAAGTTTTATTTCACACAGGATAGATTAATGCCATTTTCCATGCCAATTTCAGTTTATTTAAGAATGAAGAACTTACACAGCCCTGCAATTAATGCTTTTTTTTTTTTTCAAATTTAAATGACAAATGAACAAGTTATGGCCAATCTAAAACTAACCCTTTCTGTCGCATTCTTTAAATGCTTTGGGAGTTTTTAAAGTTTAAGCACTAAGCTGCTCAAATGAAAAGAATGACACAGTATCATCTTCCTCTGGATTTGTAATCTGTGTGTTAAGCGTTCTGAAATAGTTCTTACAGTAGTTAAAATACATCAAATTGTTGATATACCAAAACACACTTTAAAAAGCCCTCCCTCCTTCTTATGATAAATGGGATGGATTTCACATACTTCATCCAAGGGATACATCTTTTCTCAGGAAATCATATGTTCTAGCTAAAAAAAAAAAAAATTACTTCAACATAAAGAGGATGAAAAGGTACCTTACTGTATATACTCCAGATATTTTCAGGTCGAGTGTTCACCTGAGGTGAAGTTAAATAAAACAAATTCAAGGCGGAGAACATCCGAGCCCTCTGATGCGCGTTCTTAATAAAGCTACCGAATACCTTCTTGCAGGATTCCTGAGCTCAGGAAGACGCGTCACTGACAGCGTAGCAGCTTGCATGGACATACTGCCAAGAGTAAGGAAGTGTGGAGAGATACTGCCTTTACTGGGATGTGAACTGGACGTAAACTAAGAGGACGTACAGCAGCCGACCTGCTCTGTAGCATCACCTCTTCGATTAAGGTGAGATGTGCCGTGAAGTAACATACCTGGCTCCTTCAAGGAAGGCTTCTTCCATGCAAGTTATACGAAAGACAAATGATTTTACACAGTCAGTGCTTCTGTTGATAGACCCTTTTTCTTGTTTAAAAAGAAATAATAAAGCTTCTAGTGCTGCTTCCCCCAACACGTAAAATTTGCCTTGTGAAGAGCAATCCTGTGATGCTCCTCTGAGAGGAGCGGATTCCCCTTACGGCCCACCACCCCGGGGAACGCCACGCGTGAACATGCCCCAAGCACCGCGCGAGCGGGGGTCGGTGTCTGAGCCCCGCGGAGCTCCGCACCGTCCCACGGGTCCATTCTCCCATTCCCCGCACCAGGACTCCCGCGTCTCCGCTCCCCGGCCCGCCCGGCCACGCCGACCCCCGCCACATG